TAGTGTGCACGCATGCATGTGTGTGCACACTGTGCATTTGGTCATGGTGTGTGTGCACCTGCTTCTGTGCACTAGGTAGTGTTTGTGTGTGTGTGTGTGTGTGTGTACACTATGCATTTGGTCATGCATGTGTATGCACCTGCTCCTGTGCACTGGGTAGTGTGTGTGCGTGCATGTGTGTGCACACTGTGCATTTGGTCATGGTGTGTGTGCACCTGCTCCTGTGCACTAGGTAGTGTTTGTGTGTGTGTGTACACTGCATTTCGTCATGCATATTGTTTGCACCTGCTCCTGTGCACTGGGTAGTGTGCGCACGTGCATGTGTGTGTGCACACTGTGCATTTGGTCATGGTGTGTGTGCACCTGCTCCTGTGCCCTACTGTGTGTGTGTACATGTGTGCACACTGCATTTGGTTGTGGTGTGTGTGTGTGTGCACCTGCTCCTGTGCCCTGGGTAGTGTGTGTGTGTGCATGTGTGCACACTGTGCATTTGGTCATTGTGTGTGTGCAACTGCTTCTGTACACCCACTTCACTGTCCCACCTGTCACCTGTCACCATCAAAGTGACTTCTGCCTTTACTATTTATTAGGGAGCTGTACAGCCAAAATCAGCAGGAAGGTGTCCCAGAGCAGAGCACCACGTGCCTGAGGACTGTCCCAGGATAGGAGGATCATCCCAGCATCCATCAGAGCCACATGGGGCTCCTCCGTGGGGGCTGGAGAGAGGATGACTTCAGAGGTGGCCCTGGGCAGACAGGGAGTTGTTAACAGTACTGGTCCCCTCCTTAGGGTTGAGAGAGACCCCATGAAGAGCGTAGAGGAGGAAGAGGAGGAGGAGGCTAAGCCTGTGTGTGGGTAAGGTCTACCTCATATTTCCCCCAAATCAGAGCTTCAAGAGAAAAATACCTGGACTGTGAGCAGATTTGCTGGCTGCCATTTGTTTCTGTTTGGTTTGAAAATGTTTGGCTAAAGTTTCTCAGACAAAAGGTCCTGTGTTCAGCCCACGCTCCATGTCTTCTCAGCTGGGAATCTGTGTATTTGTGGGCAGTGCTCGAGAAGAGAGCAAGGATCCAGGCCACAGGGTCTTCCCCCTCCCAAGCGGCTCACCCTGTGCAAGACCCCGGGGGTTACTCGTCTCGTGCACGATTTTGGAAACTGGGCTGTGGGTCCGGAGCCGTCCAGCGGCATTCGTCATCTGATGACGATGCTGAGGCAGGAGCCCCGGACCCCAGGAAGGTTCTTGTCTTCCCTGCCAACTGCGTTGTTTCCAAACAGTTGCGATCCCAGCGGAAATTCCCAGCACACACACAGACGGCAGGGGCCTGTTCTTCTGGCTCTGTTTTGACATAAATCAGAATGCTGTTTCCTGATCCATATGTACGAGTCCGTCTGCACGTGGTGCTCACGGTGCTATCGATGGGGGTTCCGCTTCTGCGGCTATCAGCAAGGTTCTGGTGCCTTTGTGCCTGTGGGGCTGGGTGGGCCCCGAGCTGTGTTAGTGCCCATGCCAGCCCTGGGTGGTGCCCCAGACATGCTGCTGTCTCCTGCCCCTGCTGTGGTGGTGTTGGCACGGCCCGGTGAGCCAGGTGCATGACTGTGGCCGTCAGCTCATTCCTGTACTTCATCAGCCATTCTCACTGCAGCCCAAAATAAAATTACCCAGGCTCTCCCCTCCAGTACGAAGGGCGGGGCTGCGGTGCTCATCCTTCCCCAGCACCACACACCACTGCGGGGCAGGGTTTGTCAACCGGCCTCTTGGGCTCTGAGCTGGTTGGGACTCCGCCAGCTCCATCCCTGAGCTCCCCACATCCTGCCTCTGCCTGTCAGCTGAAGCTCACCCACCTAAGAAGCACTTTCCTGCCCCCTCCCTGAGAACAGTGGAAGCAGATGTTCTGGGGATCCCGAGACCACCTGCATGTCTGGGGACTCACTAGGACTCAGCACAGTCACACCACAGCAGGCCACACTGTGGCACAGACAAACCACAACAGTGACAGCACAGCCACAGCATGGCACAGATGCCACAACAGCCACACCACAGCGCAAACACATCACAACAGCCATACTACAGCACATATACACAGTCATACCACAGCAGGGCCACACCGTGGCACAGCCACAGCACGGCACAGACAAACCACAACAGTGACAGCACAGCCACAGCATGGCACATATGCCACAACAGCCACACCATGGCACAGACACCACAACAGCCACACCACGGCACAGACACCACAGCAGCCACACAACACAGCCACACCACACCAGTCACAGCACAGCCACCCCAGGGCACAGCCACACCACCACAGCCACACCACAGCACAGACACACTTTAACAGCCACACCATGGCACAGACACACCACAACAGCCATAGCACAGCCACACCACAGCACAGACATATCACAATAATCATAGCACAGACACACCACAATAGCCACACCATGGTACAGCTACCACACAACCACACCATGGCACAACCACACAACAGCCATACCACAGCATAGACACACCACAATAGTCACACCACAGTACAGGCACAACACAACAGTCACAGCATAGCCACACCACGGCACAGCTACACCACAGTGCACACACACTATGGCACAGCCATACCATGACAGCCACTCCATGGCACAGCCAAGCCACGACATCCAGACCACAGCACAGGCATACCACAACACCCATGCCCTGACGCAGCCACGCCACAACAGCCACACCACTGCACAGTCATACAACAGTCATACCAAGGCACCCAGACCACAGCACAGACATACCACAACACCCATGCCCTGATGCAGCCAGGCCACAACAGCCACACCACAGCACAGTCATACAACAACAGCCACACCATTATCACAGCCCTATACTCAGGAGGCATGGCTGGATCTGCAAGGGAAGAGTTCACAGGCACAGCCTGGAGGGGCCGGTGAGCAGACTTCCCGTGATCACCCCCACCACACTCTCCTGAAGGGGCACACACTCCCTCCAGTAGCAAAATGCAGCCCCATGTGTGCAGTGCTTCTGCCCAGGGAATTCCAGCTAAGACCCAAAATTCAGGGTTTTGACTGGGGCTACTCACTAACATGCCAGGTCCTCTAAAGAAAGGCCGGCGTTTGCCATAAATCACATTGTTTGCACAAGCGGTCTAGACAGGAACCTCCTCACTAAAGGAATGCTTCAAAGCCAAGTTTCCAGATGCCAGCCAATGGCCACCCTTGCAAGCAGGCACTTCTGTATCTAGTAGTCTTTGGCCCGTCCACAGAGACACTCCGGAGTGAGGACTTTGGGGAGCCGGGGCTTTCATGGGGGCATTGAGGCGCCCCATGGAGCCACAGAGACCAAGGCCAGACCCATGGGTGGTTGCCTCCCACCTGTCCTGTGCCTGACATGGCTCCAGTTTGGATGGTACTCAGCTGACTGTGAGGGATGGTGGCCAGAAAAGGCAGGGAGGGTGGGAGGGAGAAGACCACATCCCCCAGAGGAGACAGAAAAAACAGGGTGTAATGGCAGGAATTTGGGAAGACTGCAAACCTGGAAACAGACATCTGTGTGTGTGTGCACGTGCATGCATGTATGCATGTGCAGTGTCTGTGACGGTTGTGTTGCGTGCATGTGTATATGTTGTGTGCATGTGTGTATTATGTGTGAATGGCATGTTTGGGCATGTGCGTATATGCGTAAGTGCATTGTGTGTGCACGTGTGTAGTGTGGTATGCTGTGTGTGCATGTGCATGTGTGCATTTTGCATTGTGCGTACACATGCAGTGCATGTGTGTGTTGTGTGTGCATGTATGTGTATTGTACATTGTGCACACACGTGCAGTGTGTGTGTGTGTGTGTGTGTGAGTGTGTTGCAGCCATGGATGGGGCGGAACGCTGCCTGTTCTGGAAGGAGGGCAGTGAGTGGAGAGTGTTGAGCATGGAGAGCAGCTGGCTCTAGAGAGGGTGGGGTGGCCACAGCGAAGCAAATGCCCAGGTCTTGTCCCTTCAATCTGAGGAGTGATTTCTTAAAATACTGCGTAATATTTTCAGCAAGACCTCTGTTCTATATTTGCATGTGGATAGTTCCTATCCTAGGCAGTAAATCACAGAATTCAGAGAGGCATTGACAGGGGAGGAGTGTTACTGGGTAGGTGTCCGGATTCCTGGCCTGCTCAGCCTGGAAGTGTCACTGAGGGAAATCCCTATGATACATGGGGCTTCAGCTTTTCCATCTGCAAAATACGAGGGCTGGACTGCCAGGTCCCCTTCCTCTTGCAGGTTCTAGAGACTGATGGTTCCATGACAGCTGATTTAGAAATGAATCAGATTAAAGGCACAAAGAGCAGTGTACTATGTAAGTTGCAGTGGAGATTTCAACTGTAACGCTTAGTATGTGAAGAAACAGACATGTACGTGTCATTTGACTGCATTTATTTTTCTTTCTGTTTGAGGTAATATCCTCTTACCTAGAAGTTAGGTTAAAAAATCAGAAACCAAAAACCCTTCAGATCTCTCCTAGGCTGGAAAAACGTGGTGTCTCTGCTTCTGGCCTCTGGCTCGGCCCCGGCGTGCCCTCGCTCCTGCCCCTCAGCCCACGCCGCCTCCCACCCACACCGCCGTGCCCCTGGGGCTGATCCAGGGCCCGTCCTTCATAACTTCTGCAAAAGCATACAAACTTGTAATCAGGAAAAATTTGAACCCCAAGAAACTGGGCGACCGGTAGACATCGTGAGAGATCCGAGGTCACTTCTGTAGGGGCTTTGTGGGGAGCAGGGACTCATCTTCCTGAGAGTGTGGCCTTCAGTGGAAGCCAGGTGTGTCTCCTGGGCTGGAGGCTCAGGATGTGGCGCTGTAGCTGGTGCTGGACCCCCGAGGGCAGTGCCTGCCATTGTCTCAGTGACTGTCCTATACAGAGCCAGTACCTGGTCAAGGCCCCAAAATGCCTTGAGTGCTGACCCGTGATGCATACATTCCCCAGGTCGTCACACTAAATGGCATTTTCTCCACTCTTTTTCAGAGAGAAAGCAGTACGTTGGTGAAAGCAACATTAGGGCTGATTTCTATTCCTGCTGGGAGATCCAGGCCACTGTCCAGGAGCTTCGTCCAGCCTGTGGATGGAGCCTGACCGGCTGCAGATGGAACTTCTGTGTCCTCCCACCCTTGGTGTCTAAGGTTATTGTGTTCAGAGCTGAGTTTACAAGAGGTGTGTGTGTGTGTGCGCTCGCTCGTGTGCACATGCACGCGTTTAAGTGTGTGTCCACTCAACCCAAAGAGCAGTTCATGGGATTTAACAACTCTGAGGTACGTAGAAGTTGAGGCACTGGGTGGGGAGGTGAATGTACCATGTACCATTGTATAAAGGAGGCAGACTCATTGCTGGAGGGATTGGGTTGTCTGGAAGGATTAGGTTCATTTCATGTTTGTGTTAGAAGAAATGTCTGACTTTGGGGCAGATGAAATAGTGGCCGCGGACCAGGCATGGTTCCCTATGTCGAAATCAGGGAAAAGCTAATACGATCAGACAGATTGGCTTTTTCTCTGGTGGGTGCAGGATTTCTGCTGGGAAATGCACTATTACTCACCAGTTGTCCAAGGAAGACCCATCCATTTCTGTTGCTGTTCAAGCCACAGTTCCTGATTTACTCGGACAAGATACTGGGCTGGTTCAGTGTCTCTCACTGAGCCTGACTCGGGTTTGCGTCTCAAGTCTGAACTCCTGTCTAGTCCTCTGTGCATAGTTTTGTCTCATTTTAGTGACGGCGTCTTGGCACATTTATTATACTCAGAACTGAATGGCACAAACTAGCCTCGTGTTAATAGAAGCTACCGTGGAGCTATGGGTGAACCACTGGGTTGAAGTCTGATGGACACAAGGCATCCAGAAATAGGTTGTAATTCTACCTGGCTCCATGCCAGCCTGGCCTCCTCCTCTGGGGAAGCTCCTGGCTTGGCCCCAGTGTGCACATGCATGGCAGCAACAGCTGCACGGGCTGGCTGTTGAGGATCTAAAGGTGTGCAGTGAAACCCAGATTCCCACATTCGCTTCCCTCCTGTTTATTTGGGTCATCGTGGTTTTGCAGGTTGTATGTGTTTGGAGCACTTCATACACCCCCGTCCACCACAGACACTCTCAACCACAGTTCTGTAATAATAATAAGGCTAACTCTACAGCAAAGAGACGCATGTAAATATGTACCGATTAAGTTGTAACTGTTTATATGTAAACAACATATATATAGGAAAGGGAGAAGGTGCAAGGAACGTGGTGAATGGCATCCAAGCCGCGTTGCGTCCCTGCCCCTTCCCGAAAGCACACGTCCAGCAGGAACGTCCATTCCTCTCTTACATGGCACTGTTTTCACTCATCTGTCATAGGCACCTTCTTTACATCCGATTACAGTATCCAGCATTTCAGAACCGGGTTTTTGCCCCAGAAAACGTAAATATGAGCATTTATCACTGACTCCTCCTGGTCCAGTGAGCAGCAGCAGAATTCAAGTATTTAAAAATAAGGCGCACTTCCAAATTGCAGGCTCCCTTCTCTTCCAAACCAATGGGCTCGACTGAATTTCCTCCTCGTCTGTGAGCCGTCTCACTGCTAGCTCTTCCAACAGGGGAAGTCTGTATAAATGCATCATCCCCTAACAACGCAAGAGAAGGGACCCTGAAATGTTGCCAGACATGTTTACTGTGTAAAGGGGACATCAACATTCACATCCACGTCATCACACTGCACAACAGATCCTTTGTCTTTGCTAAAAATCCATGTAAATTGCAGATGCTTTTGTTGACACCAGTGTGTGGTTTACCTGTACCCGTGGTCTGGATTTCAAGCTGCAGAAGGACTATGACTGTTTCACAGAATCTGTAGCCTTCAGGATACCCCGAGTGCCTTACAGGGCTTGAGCACCGACACGAGAAGTCAAAAAGGAGAGTGTGCCCAAGTGTGGGTCCGGAGGCACTGACGCATTTGCCGACACTCACCGTCATCCCATCCTTGAAACCTAAGAGGGAGTGTGTGTTTTAACACAGTAATGGAGTTTCAGTCTAGGCTCAGGAAAATCATATTGTGAATATAGGTATCAAATCATATATTTGTTTACTGTATATTTTTAGAAAAGCTTTATTGTAAATTTATGCAAAAACTAATCGGGCCTGTTTTCTTACGGCAGCATGCCGGGCAGTGTGTGTGTATTCTCTGAGGCAGTCCCTTCAAAGCGCCCTCTAGCCCCGTGACATTCTGTTCAGTGCTAAGCAGTACTCACAGGCCTAACATAGGTTTGTATGGTGACCTTACAAGATTTTACAAATATTTTTGTATTGTGATTCCTATGATATATACCAGAGAATTTTTACTCATTTGTAAATTACTGTACAGTTTTAATAAAAAAAGTTTTAAATCTTAGATTAAAGCTCCTCAAAGGTATTAAAGAGTGAACTGAAAGCCGTATGAACCATTTCTGCATTTTCGAGTTCATTGTCTGAACAGTGCCTCTGCACGCCAGAAACAGGGTCTGCGCGGTCCGCCCACTGTGGAAGAAGCCCCAGGTCTCACCTGCCAGATCACCTGGAGGGCGAGCTCTGCAGTCAGGCGGTCTAGCAGCACCTGGCTCAGGTCGGCCACCGGGGAGGCCTCCTCCTGTGGCTGTTTGTCAAATGTGAACCATCAGAGAAACCACACAATTAGGAAAAGAACAGAACTTCTGCGGCTGCATGAGAACAGTTGGTGATGTTTGCCGTGGACGGTCCCACACAGGTGAGTGACAGACGTTGCGTTAATCATTTGGGAGGGGGAACCAAAGGAGGACCAGGGGGTGGGAAGCTGCTGGATTTAGTTCTGCTGGCTGGGGCCCGCCAGTACTCGAGGTCGTGGTGACTCGGTGTCCGAACTCCAGCTTTGAAATGCGGACTGTGCTAACACAAAGGCCTGGAGTTTCTGGGTTCGATTTCAGCCGCTGCAGGCTGGATACAGTGACAGACGGAGTGGCAGCATCGCCCCGTCACCCCTGTCTCGCCCCAAGCCTCTAACTCGGCTTTAAGGGAGATCAGCAGCAGCTCGCGTGGTGGGGTCTCCCCGCCCTCCCACGTGCCCAGGATTTTGGAGTCAGAGCCGCCTTGCCTAGCGTGGGACGGTCCAAGGGACCTGAAATGCGGCCGGAATTCCCGCAGCAGTTTCCCCAGGGCGCGCTCCCGGCCCGGCCTTCCCAGCGCCCAGCGTGTCCCGAGGGTGAGCAGCCGCGCGTGGCTGGGACTGAGCGAGCGCCGGGGAGGCCAGGCTGGGGCGTTCAGCACCTGCTGCGTGGACAGCGCCAGTTCCGCGCCAGGCGGCGGGGGCGGCAGGAGGGGAGGGGAGGGCGCGGCCGCCAGGTCCGCCCAGTGCACCTGCCGCGCAGACCCCGCGGAGCCGGCTCGGAAACCTGAGCCTGACGCCGGCTCCTGCCATGACCGCGAGGCCTCTGGCCCGGCCCAAATTCGGCTGCGTGTTCCGCCGCATGGAGGACGCCTTCGAGAGCAAGACGCTGCCGCTGGACACGCTGGGCGGCGGCCGCCTGGGCCCTCAGGCTGGGAAGCCGGTCTGCGGGGCGCGCGGCGACTGCCGAGACCCCCCGGCGGCCGCGGCAAGTCCCCGAGGGCTGCCCGCTGTGACCCAGGCCTGGGGTCCCCAGCAGGTAGCGGCCGCAGGACGGGGCCCGGACTCCCCGAGACACCCTGGAAGGACGCCGGGCGTGGGGCTCACCTACATCTCTCCGCGGGGCCTCCCTGTCCCCGAAAGTCCTGAGCCTTCTGGGTCCCGCGACCCCCTCCAACCCGCCCCCCGACCGGCTGCCACGGGTCCTGGTCCCTGGGGAGCACGAGCGCCTCCCGCTGTCTCCGTGTCTCTTTGACTCGCGCTCCCCCTCCTGCCCTCCGCGCGGCCGGCGTGGAACAGCCTCGCAGGGTCGCACCTGGCGCTCGGGGCCTGGCCGGGGCCATCCGCGAAGGAGCCGGCTTCCGCCGAGACGCTTTCCGGGACTGGAGCGGCTCCCAGAGCGCCGCGGCCCGGAGTCCTCGCTGGCTTGGAATGCCGGGTCCGGGGCTGCGCGTGGCAGGGAGGGCAGGTGCGCAGCGGGGCTGCCGAACTCTCTTCCTCCCCTCCCCGGGGTGCAAACTCCGCGCACAGCAGCTGGGACGGATTGAAATTCTGTCCCCCTCCCCACCCAGCGCTTGTCTGCGGGTCCGCGCAGGGGATCGGGGTGCAGAGATCAGGCCTTGAGGCCGCCCCTACTACACTGGGCAGGGAGTTCGGGGGGCTGGGGGAGCCGGGGCTCTGTGGGGGCGGGGCCTGAGGGGCGGGGCGGCCCGAGAGGCGGGGCCAGGCGGGGGCGGGCCCGGAACGGAGCCGTGCGGCCCCGCGCGCTCGCAGTAGATCTCCCGCCACCCCCACGCGCGCCTCGCGTCTCACGCTTCCCCCGCCCGCCCCCGCTCGTGCCGCCCCTGCCAGGGACCCCCAGGAGCAGGATGTCCTTCCAGGGCAAGAAGAGCATCCCCCGGATCACGGTGAGCCCGGCCCGCGTCTCCCGGCGCCCCCTGCCCACCGCCCCGAGCGGGGCCTGGACGCGGGGCGGACCCCCTGGCCCTGTGCGTGGAGGGGGGCGGCCATGCCTTCGCGCCTGGCCGCTGCCCGGCCCTTCCCTGCCCCGCTCCTTCGCGGCCCGGGGTCGGAGAGTCCCTGCGAGCGCCGCGCCAGACACCCTGACGAAACGGGGCGCACTGGCCGGGCCCTGCCGGCTTCCGGGAGCCTCGGCTGCGCCCGCGGAGGACCCGGGGCCGTGCGGCCTGTGCCTCGAAGCGCAGAGGCTCCTCCTTTCCGCGGCGGCGGGGCGAGCGGGGCGGGCGGACGCGGCCCTTTGTTGGCCGGGTTGGTCTGGGGCGCGCGGAGACGCCGTTCCCGGCGCAGCCCGTGGGCCGCCCGCCCCTTGGACGCACTGGCGCCGCATCGGGAGCTCTTTGTCCGAGACAAAGCGATTTAGCCCCAGCCGCTCAGGCCAGAGTCCCTGGCGGCCCCTAACCCTCCGCTAACCCTGGGTTCAGAGAGTCCGAGGAAAGCGAACGCTCACGGGCCACTGGTCCGGCGCCCCGGCCGCCCCCAGCCTTCGAGAGCGGAGACCCCCCCCCCCACTCGCATGCACCGGCTTGGAGGTCCGGCTCTGCCGGGAACAAAGCCTCCCACTTGGGCGGCGGGACAAGGGGCGGAAGGATGGAGGCTTCGAGACCGGCGAGGCCTGGGTCGGGGAGTCCGTGGGGTCCCAGACCCGACTCTCAACTCGGCAGAAGGGCTATGGAGTCTGATCTCCGGCATTAGCCCGAGACGTGGGCTGAGGGCTCCACTTCTGAGACGCAGAGGGAGGGAGAAAGGAGCTGCTGCCTCCAGAGGGGCAGCTGGGCTGGGTCTGGTCTTGATGCAGGAGGTCCCACTGGCCTGCTAGCACGTGGGAGTCGAGTTTGGGGGTGGCAGGAGGACCCCTTCCCAGGGTCAGTCAGGCAACTATGTCAGTAGGGAAGGGTGGCCGGTTCCTGGGAACTTTCACCCTCCTCTGGATGAGTGTAGTGAGAGGAACATGGCCCCACCCAGCTGCGTCTCCTGGGTTCCAAACACGTCCTAGTGTGGGTGCCTGAAAACTTGGGGTGCCTGTGAGTAGAGAGCCGAGAACACAGGTCTCCTCAAGCCTCCCTCTGCCCGGCTGGGTTTTCTAGGGCTTCCTTGAAAATGCATGGGTTCCCTGGGAGGGGTGGGAAGTGAAGAGCCGGGACAGCCCTGGGAGGCAGCCAGGGCCTGACTTGGCCACAGAGGCTGTGCAAATGCGCAGTGGTGCCCGGTCAGGGCTGGGCCTGGTGCTCAGCTGGGACTGGACAGGAGTGGGAGAATGGACAGCTCTGTAGACCAAGGGTCTAAAACTTCTTCCACGACCGGCCCAGAGTAAACGTTCTCAGCCTTGTGGACCATGCTGTTTCTGTCGCGACTGATTGGCCCTGCCAGGAAAGTGGTCCTGGACACTCCGGAAGTCAGTGGGCATCACTGTGTTGGAACAGAGCTTGATCTGCGGACACCGCGGTGTGAACTTTACAGTTTTTGTTTGTTTTCAATGCATATACCATTTGCAGCCTAGGGCTGTATGAAGACAGGTAGAGGGTTTGTAGACGACTGGGTAAGGGGTTTATAAGTCACTGGGATCCTGAAAATGCAGCCCCGCAGTCGGATGTCAACAGTGGATCCCATATGGGTTCCTGGATAATGAACTCCTCATTGCGAGAGCTCTACGAAGTGGACATTTCAGTTTATGCTCTTGACTTCAGACTGATGGTGTGTGAAGGGTGCAGCCCCAGGCTGGGGCCCTGGCTGCCTCGAGGTGGGCCCTGGAAGCTGGGGCAGGTGGCTGGACCTCCCTGTTAAACGCACACCATGCCTGGTCAGTCACAGGGGGTGTCGAGGCTCAAGCAGAGCAGTGGAGGGAAACGTGCTGCAGAGTCCAGCCCGTGCCTGCATCTTTCTCCATCTTTTGTTGTGTTTCTCTCCCCCATTCTCCACTGAGGTCAGATCTTCACCTCTGACAGTCAATGCCGAGTTCCATCAGTGACACCCCACTTTCCACCTAATCTTCTGCTTCCCAGCCATCTGGTAGGATTCTTAGAAGTGGATTTATGGCTGCCAAGCGCTAGAGTCAATCCCTGTCTAATGCCATAGCTCTGTGCTGCCAGGGCTGACCCACAAAGAGCCGGCCTGGAGAGCGTTGATGCTCTGTGCACCCCCTGGGAGTGCATCCAAGCCACACCGGAACCAGAGGTCCCCCAGTCTCCTCTTCCCCGTCACCCCCATGGCCTCTTGGTCAGCAAGTCCTGCCGTCCTGACTCCCAGCCTCTCTGGAAGCCACTCTCCTCCCATCCTTCACATCCCTCACATAATCCTGTCCCAGAGCCCCTGCTCTCGCTGGGCCAACCTCAGCAATCACCGCAGCGGTGATCCCACTTCCATTGTTACACATACCCCTGCTTTCTAACGCAGCAGCCAAGGTGATCTCTTTAAAACATCCATCAGGCTGAGCGTGGTGGCTCACGCCTGTAATCCAAGCACTTTGGAGGCCAAGGTGGGTGAATCACCTGAGGTTGGGAGTTCGAGACCAGACTGACCATGGTGAAACCCCATCTTAAAAAAAAAATTAAAGAAAGAAAGAAAACATCAATCAAACTGGGACTGAAACCTGCTTAAGGCCCCCAGTCAGGGACAGCCATGGAGTCCCCAGGCCTGCATATCCTGCCCCTGCCTCTGGCCCCACCACCCCACCAGAAGGTGCCCGCCCTTGGCCTCCTCCCTGGTCTGCTGATGGCAACTCAAGCCCTTTCCTGCCCCAGGGCCTTTGCACAGCTGCTTCCTGGCTAGAATGCTGGCCCTGGCCTCCTTGCCCCTGTATCAGCCACCCCCACCCCAGAGGTCCTTCTCCCCATGAGAGCCTCGCCCCTTTCATGGCCCTGTCACAGCACCCTTGCTGTGCACTGCACATTTATCAGTCTGTGACCATCTGTGCATGTGTGTTTTTGCTGCTGGTGGTCTCCCCTCAGTGGGAGGCATCCTCCTGGGGTGGGGACTATGCCCGTAGGGGCGCTGCTCTGCCTCCACCCTCCTGGCAGCATCACTGGGCTGCAGTGTTTGGGTGGAATCAAAGTCCAGCTCTGTCAGCTCCCACCCGCCTCCGTGTGGGTGGAAGACGGGGTGGAGAAGAGCAGGACCCTGGAGGCTGCAGGAGGGCATGAGACATCGTTCACCTCCTCCCTCAGACTGGGGCCCCTTAATCCAATGGTAAATTAGAAGATATAAATATGACCTGTGGCTCTGCCACACTTTCACCAACATGGGCTTTGCCCTCTGTGCCCGCTCTTCCCTGTGCCCTCAGTGAGGCCTGAGCAGCAGCTCTGGGGTGTGCGTGGCGCTTCCAGGGGCAGCTGTTTTTGAGTACCTGGTGCCACTTCTGGGGAAATAGTAAACCCCTGCGGGCTTGTGTGCTCATTTTTACATCTAGAAACTTTGCCTGGATGTTTCATTCCTAATTCCCGAGAAGAAGTTGTACCAGGGGTGTTGCTGAATAGCTCAGTTTGGAGAAAAATTACCGATTTGTCATTCCCAATAGAGTGACCGCCTTCTGATCAGAGGTGGGAGGATCGTGAATGACGACCAGTCCTTCTATGCTGATGTGCACGTGGAAGACGGCGTGATCAAGTAAGTTTCTGCTGAAAATACGCTCCCAGTCCGTGTGCGTCCACACTGGTCACGTGGCATCCAGGCAGTTTACTTTTGGGGGAAGTCCAGGAGAGAGGTTTCTTCTTTTCCAAACCCATCCTTGGAAACAGTAACCAGGTGGCCTCTGTCAGAGCCCGGGCCTTCAGTGAGGGCAGAGATGTGTCCGGTCGCCGCAGGGCGAAAGCAGGATGCTGGCCTCCGCGTTTCTTTGTTAGTACCGTGGCTGCCTCACAGCAGGCGCTTCCCAGATATTCATGCCTACACCTGTTAGCGTGCCTGCTTCGGTCTCTCAAGCCAGTCCCTCCTCTAGTCAAAAAGGTAGCAACCAGGGACCTTGTGGAGAACCACAGGGCATGGCATCTGCACAAGGCTGGACCCCACAGTGACCGTCCCGAGCTGCGCTGAGGGATGCTTTGCTCTCTGGCACTCCCAAGGAGCTGGTCCAGTGAGTGGCCAGCTATGCTGGCCTTTTCCTTTGGGTCTGGAGCTCACGCGAACACTTGAGCGTTGCTGGGAGCCCATCTGGGCTCTGACCTGGGCTCACTGTGACCAGTGAAACCTCTGCTGCTTTCAGACAAATTGGAGAAAACCTCGTCGTCCCTGGGGGCATCAAGACCATTGACGCCCATGGCCTGATGGTCCTTCCCGGTGGAGTTGACGTCCACACAAGGCTGCAGATGCCCGTCCTGGGCATGACCCCGGCTGACGACTTCTGTCAGGGCACCAAGGCAGCACTGGCAGGAGGGACCACCATGGTCTGTGAGTGCCTGGGCCCTTCTCTGCAGGGGCAGCCAGCAGCTGCCGTCCCTCCTTCTGGCCGGGTGTGTGAGAGAGGAGGGTGTCACCGCAAGGCCTTTCTTCAGCTGCCTTTATTCTTCTGTCTGAGACCCTGGAGTCCCTTTCTTATCCCTCTGTCTCACTCTGGGTGTTGACATGACCAGCTCTGGAATGCGCCTGGGATTTCCAGGAGTAGGAATCAGTGGGCTGATGTGTGTCCACTTATTGTCTCCCAGGCACTGGTAGCTGGCCCAGAGCTGGGGTTTGGAAAACTCAAATGCCTTGGAAAAGGGGAGTGGTCATTTGTCCTGAAATGCCAGATACACGTTTGACCTTGAGCCACATGCCTTAGAAACTTGATAGGTGGAAGGTTCTTGCTCATGTCAAGAAGAGTTAAGGATGAAGGCTGTATTTTTAGAAAAAGATAAAAGCAAGGCTCATTATTATCCCATCAAAAAATAACCAGAGTTGCTATTTCTGTAGTGCTGGCTGTGTGCCCAGCACGGGCTCCATCCTGACACCCATCAGCTCATGTGCTCTCCTCCTAAAACCCTCTGAGCTCAGCAGATGAGCCCAGTTTAACAGGCAAGTGAGGAGAGTCTGCCTGCCCACCATGAGCACGTGGGGAGCTCCAGGACGAGGGCCTCTGGCCTTGGGTGCCACTCACTCTGCTGTGTCCGCTGGCACAGACATCTCTGCTGTGGTTGAGAAGGGGTCTGTTGCTTTCTAGCTATGTGACTCCAGGTACCTCAGTTGACTTGTATGAGTCACACTTTGTTGATCTGTGAAACAGAATGCTGCCCTCATGCGCTTCTGAGGCACATGTGAGTTAATGCATGTAAGTTGCTTTGTGTACCTGGCACACCAGGGAGGGCAGCTCTGAGGAGTCTGGGACACCTCACGGGGGCATTTAGCCATTGCCAAAATCACAGCTTGGTTTGGTTTACTCAGCCACAAAAGGAGAAAAAACCAGCAGCGACCCACCTTGCAGTCTGACTGAGGAGACTGGCCACTGCTCACACCCTTTGCGGGGTGGCCGGAGCAGACCAAAACGCCTGCACAGTCGAGGTTACCTGCCTCGTGCCAGTGCCAAGGCACCTGGCCAGCCGTGGGTCCCTGCGCAGACAGAAAGACACCACAGACACAAGGCTGGCCTCTGTCTTCCTCTACCTGCAGGCCCAGGCTGGCACTGTGGGTGGCTGCAGGGGCTTGGGTGCCCACTTCACCCTGTGGGGATGTGTAGAGGCCTGAGGGAGGGCTGTGCTGGAGGAAGGCATGCCTGGTGGGCACACCGTCCTGTCAGACCACCTGGCTCAGAGCTGTCTTCCAGCTGCACCAGCAGAGGACAGTGAGCAGTGTCTGGGCCTTGGGTTGTGGCTGTTGGGGCAGCAGCATGATGGCTGAGTGCAGGGGTCAGGATGGCACCGTTGAAGGCTTGTGGAGTCAGTGGGGCACTCAGGAAACCAGCCCAGCTCCCACTGGCCTAGGAAGGCACCAAGAGGCGGGACCAGCACCTTGGACAGCGCTCTGGCCCTGCCTGGCCCTGAGGGTGCCCCACGCAGGCTGAGACAGGAGCTGGAGGCCTGCAAACCCCTGACCGTCCCCACATCGCTCCTCCATGTGCGACCTGGGGGTGGGGTGGTTTGGGCTGGGGCTCTTCCTCTCTCCTCTCCCCTTGTGTGGTCAGAGGGTGACTGGAGGACTTGGGACAGAAGGTTCCTCTTTGAACAAAGCGATAGAGCAGGTTCTTGGCAGTGTCATCCTCTTGGGCCAGTGGTCTCTGCTGTGTCTTCCTCAAACGGTCCTCTGGTCTCTTGGGAACATGAAACAGAATCTCCCATGGAGGAGGCAGAGCAGGGAGGTGGGGGCCAGTGGGGGAAGCTGCTGACCATGATGCCTTCACAGTGGACCATGTCTTCCCTGACCCGGGCGTGAGCTTGCTGGCAGCCTACGAGCAGTGGCGGGAGCGGGCAGACGGCGTGGCCTGCTGTGACTACTCTCTGCACGTGGACATCCCCCGCTGGCACGACAGCATCAAGGAGGAGCTGGAAGCCCTGGTCAAGGAGAAAGGTTAGGGCGCCTGGAGGGCAGGCCGGGAGCCTGGCTCCCTGCGAGGGCCACCGCCCACCTGCACTCTGGGCAGAGGGCCCCTGTCCTGACCCATGTGTCCTGCCAATGGCGCTGATCTGCCCCAGGGGCCAGTGTCAGATTTGAGTGGAAGTTGGAGAAAAGTCATGTGAAGGCCCAACCACCGTCAGAGGCTCCAGGCCCAGAGGCCTCTTTCCCTAGCCAAAGTACATAATCCTGGAATCATCCTCCCGATGAAAGGACACAGCGGGTCCCTCATTTCTTAGAAAGGAGGCTGCCTGGGAGCAGAGTAGCAGCTGCCCACTCTGCTGGCATTTGGGGATCCTTCCAGAGGGAGACCCTTTTAAACCTGGATCTGTGTTGTCACCTTTGCTGAAATAGACCAGCCAATAAACAAGTTTAACAGTTTCCCCACAAAAAATCCCATGAAGATAAAACCACATCAGAGTTTCATAGTGGGTTTGACAAGCGGAGTTCAGGCTGAGAGGTCAGGCATGTCTAGCATGGGGGTCTGCTGGACGGGCATGAGTAGTTCTCCCCTGTATAACCTGATCTCTCCTCATCTGAGTCTGGCCCACCGCTTCCAGCCTGGAGCGGGGGCGGGATGGGGTCCGAGCAGGCCCAGGAGGCGGCAGACATCTGGCACTCCCAGGGACGCCTGCTGCCCGCCCCCTGCAGACCTGAAGGAGACGGGTGTTTCTTCAAGGCCATTCCTGTGTTCCCATTCCCCAAAGGAAGACGGTTATCACACAGGTGCCCCTTGGTGTCAGGACCCCTCACCTCCCTGCCCGGGGCTGGTGGAGCCTGTCAACCCTCGGTCCCTGGGCCTTGCTCCAGGCGGCTGCTCTGCCAGTACTGTTCTATGAGTGGACTCAGGAGGCCTATGGCCTGGTGTCTCAGAGGAGAGTTGAAGGCAGGGCCTGCACCTCCCCTCACCCCGCTGGGGCAGTGCTGGGGGGGGCCTCTGCTCCCCTAGAGCCACGCACGGTCGTAAGTCCTGTGCCCACTGGTTGGTGTTGCAGGGACAGCACCCATCCCAACCATCGCCTTCATCAGACACTTGGGGGCAGGCCCCAAATGCCAGGTCATATGCATGTTGCTACCTGGAGGGATGCCTTGTGCTGCACAAGGTGACTCAGTTTCCCCAGTGTGCCTTAGCTCGACATACTAGCACTTTCTACCCAGCGAGGAGGGGGTCCACGGGCTGGGTGGGTTTGAGTGATGGGAGGTTGGGACCCTGCCTCCAAGCCCAGGCGGGTCCCCCAGGAAGTCCTGGGGGAGGTGGTGGACTCTGGCTGCCCAGGAAAGAGGAGAGCTCGGCCCTCCTCCTGATTGGCCCCAACGTCAGAGGCAGCCCCTGGTCCTTCTGCTCATCTAAGGGCCCAGCCCTGAGGTCTGGGCTGTCCCACAAGCCTGCACTGTGAGCCAGGCATGGCAGGTGCGGCTCCGGGGCCCCGCAGGAAGGTGGGGGTGTGCCAGTGGCCAGAATGGAGGTCACCAGCACAGCGAGGCCTAGAGCCGCACTTCGAGGAAGGGGCCAGCAGAGCTCAGGCGGAGAGCCCAGGCACAGGGGCTTTTCCAGTAAGGGGGTCTGCTGGACGGGCGTGAGGGGTTCTCACCTGCATTTGTCGCTGGGTGGACCATCAGTTCCTAACCCAGAGCACAGGAGCAGGCAAGGAGAACCCAGATGTGGCCGCCTCTGCCTCACTTCCCAGCTTGCTGGTGTGTGCATGGAAGTGGGGATCTATCTGCTCACAGGCAGGCGAACCAGCTAGGGAAACACCTCGGGAGAGGGGCCTAAGATCCCCAGCCCTGTGGAGGGCAGGGAGCAGCAGAGGCTCCTCGGGTTGTGTGGCTGGTGATGGCCGAGCTCTCTGATGCCCCCCTTCTCCCACCTCTTCTCCAGGTGTGAACTCCTTCCTGGTCTTCATGGCGTACAAGGACCGGTGCCAGTGCTCTGACAGCCAGGTAAGGGCAGGTGTGGAGAAGGGAGTGAGCAGGTGTGTCCCAGGCTGCTGCTGGCACAGGCGCAGTCTCACCCAGGACCCACCACTTCTCTCCCCAGATGTACGAGATCTTCACCATCATCCGGGACCTGGGGGCCTTGGCCCAGGTTCACGCTGAGAATGGGGACATCGTGGACGAGGTGCGGTGCAGCAGTGGGGCAGGGGCTGCCGTGGGGTGGGAGGGGCTGCCGTGGATTGGGGCTGCCATTATGTTGGGCTGCTGTGGGGAAGGGGGGCTACCATGGGGTGGGGAGGGGCTGCCGTGGGGCAGGGGGGGTGCCGTGGAGTCCCAAGCTGCTGTGGTTTGGGGGTTTGCTATGGGGCAGGACTGCCATCCTGTCAGGCTGCCGTGGGGCGGGGGGCTGCCGTGGGGTGGGATCTGAGGGTGACTTTCATGATACACAGACATCAGCAAAGAATTCCACAAAAACTTGAGAGAGGTTCATAGCTTACCCAGGGTCAAAGGTCAACCATTGAGTTAGACTTAGGGGGCTTCTAAGGCCATAAAACAGCTTCTCCTAGATCCACACTTATTAAAAATACCTCAAAACCAAAGTGTCGCTGGGGGTCCAGCGACCCCCATGTCAGCCCCACAGATGGAGGCCCCTCCTGTGGAGCAGGGTCCCCTCTAGGGGTTGGGTTGCCACCTCCCTTCCAGCCAAGGGCACCTGTGTTGACAGGGCCACATCCTTCAGACACATGCCACTTGGCTGGGGAGGACCTGAGTCTGCATGCTGCACGGACCCTCCAGGCCATCCGGGTTATGGGGCCACGTGGCCCCCAAGCCCCTGGGCCCCACACCTTTTTTCCCTCTCAGGCTCTGGCACCCACAGGTGCAGGTGGAGTTCAGAGTGGGCCACATCGTCCCCATGGGACCTCAGTGGGGCCCCCCTACAGGACACACCTCCCTGACGCTGCAAGCCCACAGGGAGACTTCCTGACACGAGACAGGCTCTGTCTGCCTCCTGAGCTCCTCAGGAAGGTGCTGGCACTCCGGCAAGGGCACGTGGGGGGTCCCCGGCGTCCTCATCCACCCTTCCAGCTGCAAGGGCACCAGAGCATCACAGACACCTCTGTGGCCGAAGGCTGGGCCCCAGCTGCACTGTCAAGAGGTGGTGCTGAGTCCAGGGGATGCTTCACACACAGCAGAGGGAGACCCCATGTGTGGGAGCCTCAGAACTGGAGCTGCTTCTCCTGGCCAGTGCTGTGTCTTCCTGACACCAATGGGCACTGCGGTACACATCTCCAAGGAAGGGCAGTGCTGGAGGAAGGAGCGGTCCCCACTCCTGACCTGCAGAGTCCTCTCACCCTGCACGCACCCCAACACATGCCCCTGCTGGGGGAGGCAGTGTGATGGGCATGGTGCTGGGGTGGAGTCTTGGTCACACATGCCCTGCTGGGGGAGGCAGCGTGATGGGCATGGTGCTGGGGTGGAGTCTTGGTCACACATGCCCTGCTGGGGGAGGCAGTGTGATGGGCATGGTGTTGGGGTGGAGTCTTGGTCACACATGCCCTGCTGGGGGAGGCAGTGTGATGGGCATGGTGCTGGGGTGGAGTCTTGGTCACACATGCCCTGCTGGGGGAGGCAGTGTGATGGGCATGGTGTTAGGGTGGAGTCTTGGTGCCATCAGTCAGGAGCCCTGCAGCCTTGGGCAAGCCACTTCCGCTGTCTGAGCCGTCCTCTCCTCTGTAACTCAGGGAGCAGGACTCTCGCCTCTCCAAGCCTCCCTCCACCCTCTATTCAGAGTTCTCTGTGGCTGGGAAATGCTGGGAGGCCTGGGGGCCAGGACTGCTTGGGGAACGGGGCCTCCTGGCCATGGGCTTAGCATCCGGGACCCAGGTTCCCCTCGGGGCTGAAGTGAGGCTCCTGTGGTTTCTTTAGGAGCAGAAGCGATGGCTGGAGCTCGGCATCACTGGGCCCGAGGGCCACGTGCTCAGCCACCCCGAGGAGGTAAGCTTCCAGGGCACCACCCCACACCCGAGTGCACTCCACCCGGACCGCTGCTGCTTGGGGCTGTGCTGACCTTCGCCCTGGGCTGTGGACTGGGCAGGGCTGTGCTCACCCCATCCTCATCTGGGAGGCATGAATCCTTCCCCTGCCAGGCACTTGTTCCCCATCGCCCTGCCACCCTACAGCCTGGACCCAGGGCCCAGAAGGTGGTGCGGGCAGCCTGGACCCTGAGCTCCAGGCTGGGGCACTCATCCTAGGCTGCCTGAATCTGGGATCCCACAGGTGACCCCTGGTCATCCCCATTGACCACACCGGTCTGGAGTCCCAGGGCCCTCTCGTGGCCTGATCCCTCCCCCTCATCCCCAGGTGGAGGCTGAGGCTGTGTACCGAGCTGTCACCATTGCCAAGCAGGCCAACTGCCCATTGTATGTCACCAAGGTGATGAGCAAGGGGGCGGCCGATGCCATCGCCCAGGCCAAGCGCAGAGGTCAGTGCCCAGCCCCGCCCAATGCCGGGGCCATGGTCTCAGCCTTCTGGGTGCAGCCCTGGGAGATACAGGCACCCCAAGTCCCTGCATCCCGGTGGGGCTGGACCTGAGTCTCCAGCCTGGTTGGAGCAGCAGCTGCTCACCAGGGGCCCTGAGGCAAAACGTGGTGGGGCTGCTCATCCTGTTTCCAGAGGGGTGAGCGTGGGGGGAATAGAATGATGCCAAGTATCTGTGTCTAAGAATTCCAGTTCCACCGAGGTGGCCCCCACCCCACACCAGTATTTGCTGTGTCTAGAGCTGGGGTGCTACCCGCCCACAGAATGCCAGCCAGCTGGAGCCTGTCACTGCAGACAGCCTTAGGCTTGGGGTGGGAGGGGGCCACACACAGCTGTGATTGGCAGGGGCTTGACTGGGGTCTCCCAGATAGAAGCTGCTGAGCTCAGAGGGTCCAGGGAGCCCCAGCAATCACTGGGGCTGGAGCAGGCCCAGGATCCAGGAGCAGAACCCAGGTGATGGGTAAATGAGGGGGAATCCTCAAGAAAGCCCCTGGGTCTGGTCTGGTTTCCCTGCCTCCTGCTGTCCCTGCTGAGTCCTGAGAGACCCAGTTTCTGGTTTTCTGGGCCTGCCTGAGGATGTGCAGGTCCCTGGTGGGCCAGTGAGGGCCTGGGGGGGCGGTGTGCTTGTGTTTCCCAAATTGAGGATTGAAATAGAAACCCACCCAGTTACATGGGAAAAGACTGAGGTATGCAGGCATATGGGGTCTGCAGGGGCAGAGCCTGAGCCTCCTTCAGGACACCAAGCAGCCTCGGGGCAGCAGGCCAGGCTCTTCTCAGGGGTGCCCCACCCCACTTGGAAGCATTTCTCCCTCACCCATTGGTGGGAGATGCCTCAGCTCTGAGCTGGAGCCATGGTGAGGCCATGGCCAGGGGACCCAGGGCCAGCCAGCTGCCATGCAGTTCACTGTGCCTCACTGTGGCCCCCAGGTGCGCCATGGCCCTGCTGGAATGCCCAGGGTCCTGGATTGGGGTGTGGGTGGAGAGAGGACCTGACTCTTTCCTAGAAGGACCCCGGGGCAACCACGTTTTCCCGGGACCCAGGCCTCTGCCCGCCTCCTGCCCAGGGCCAGGGATGCTAGACTGGAGACAAGCTGTCCCAGGCCAGGGAAGTGAGGGGCAGTTGGGGGTGTCTGCAGCGGCAGCGCTTGGGGCTCCATGGGTGCAGGTGGCCGGCGGGGCATCTCTCACGGGCCTCGTGCTGCAGGGGTGGTCGTGTTTGGGGAACCCATCACCGCCAGCCTGGGCACTGATGGCTCGCACTACTGGAGCAAGAACTGGGCCAAGGCCGCGGCCTTTGTCACGTCGCCCCCTATCAACCCAGACCCCACCACGGCGGACCACCTTACCTGCTTGCTGTCCAGGTAAGCAGCCGCTCCAGGTGGTCCCAGGTCAGCCGCGGGCTGCAAACCCTGCCAAGGCCGTGGCCCACTGGTGGCCCTGACACCCCAGGCCTCTCCCACGGCTCCCTTGGGGCAGCCCACACAGTGGAAGGTGGACGAAGTCTGAGCCCTGTGGCTCCACCTGGGCCCCTGGCAGGAACCAGCCCCCTGCCTCGTACAGAGGCACCAGCTCTGCCCAATGAGGGCCTCCAGGATGACCTCCAGCTGCTGCGGCTGGAACTGACCTGGCCTCTGGCGGCTCAGGAAGGCCAGAACCCCTGGGCTCCTCTGACCCTGGCTTGCTTCCAGCGGGGACCTCCAGGTGACAGGCAGTGCCCACTGCACCTTCACCACTGCCCAGAAGGCCGTGGGAAAGGACAACTTCACGCTGATTCCCGAGGGCACCAACGGCATTGAGGAGCGCATGTCTGTGGTCTGGGAGAAGTGCGTGGTGAGCACAGACCTGCCGGGGCGCGCCGTCTGGGGAGGGGCTGTGGGCAGGATTCCAACAGCTCGTCAGAAGGGAGCCCATCTCACCTGTGCCTGCTCGTGAGAGGTCAGAGCACATGAGCCTCAGGGTGGCGGATCCCCCACCCAGGGCACCTGGGACACGTAGTTCTGGCCCCTCCAGAAGAGACTCCAACAGCAAAGGGGCAGCTGGGACCCCACCCCAGCAGACTTAGAGTTGCCTGGACACTGTGCTTGCACAGGGTCGGCACAGGGGCCCCACGCTATGATGTTACTGGGCTCCCTGCGATGCCCTCAGGACCCACGGCGCACTGCCCTGTCCTCTGGGCCCCTCCTGCCATGCTCAGCCCCCCTCCCCTGGTGACTGAGCTCTTCCCCTCAGCCACTCTTGCTTCCCCAGCCACCAGGGCTCCCTAAGGAGACAGTCACGTCCTTCTGGGGACACAGGTGATGTCACTGAAGATTCACCCTCGTGGAACCTTCATGGAAGCTTTACCCACAAAGTGAATGCAGGAAGTAGGGGCCGGCTGGCGTCACTAAAACAGACTCACAGACTGACCAGCACAGCCGGGCAGACGTTCTCACCCCGAGTGCTGCAAGGGCCATAGGGAGCCCTGTCCTGAGCTGGCTGCCTGGGGGACACTCTAGTGTCTGTCCTTGAGGGGACCTAGTATCCATCTTTTTGGGGTCCCAGCGGCCCAGCATCCGACCTTGCAAAGGCCTCGTGTCCAACTTGTGGGGGCCTGGTGTCAGTCCTCATGGGGGCCCGATGGCCTGACATCCAACCTTGGGGGGTCCGGTGGTGCAGCGTCTGTCTTTGTGGGAGCCCCACACCAGCACCCCCATCACCCTTAGCTCAGCTGCCGCCTTGTTCTTCAGGCCTCTGGGAAGATGGACGAGAATGAGTTCGTCGCAGTGACCAGTACAAATGCTGCCAAAATCTTCAATTTTTACCCAAGGAAGGGGCGAGTGGCTGTGGGCTCTGACGCTGACCTGGTCATATGGAATCCCAAGGCCACCAAGATCATCACAGCCAAGAACCACAATCTGGTAAGGGAAGGCGGCTGGAAGGCAGGGTTGGCATTTGCGGGGCTGGGAGCATGAGACAGCTTTCCCAGGAGAGGCCTTGCAGGACAGAGGCCCAGGCGGCAGCAGCAGTGGCCTCAGCCATCCCAGGGCTGTCCACACAGCCTGTCCCAGGCCAGGCACTAAAACAAGCCCTGTCCATGTCACCTCGCTGTATGGCGGTGACAACTGTGGCCCCTTGTGCCCAGGAGGAGGCCAGGGCAGAGCAGTGCCGTGTGCACCTGCCTAGCCAAGGTGGAAGTGACCCTGCCTGTCCCTTTTGTCCTCGGGAGAAGCATGAGACTAGGAAACAAGCTCCGTAGGCTGAGGGGACCATCCCTTCTGAGTTCTAAGAGCGACTCAGTGCAGGCACAGCAGGCCTGCTCCATGCTGGGTGGCCACAGTGTTCCAGCGGCTCCATGGGGATGGGACGAATGGGTGGCAGCGTGGGGGCACTGGACCCTCATGCCTTTCTCCCCAGAATGTGGAGTACAACATCTTCGAGGGAGTGGAGTGCCGGGGAGCGCCCACAGTGGTCTTAAGCCAGGGCCGAGTGGTGCTGGAGGACGGGAACGTGCTTGTCACCCCAGGGGCAGGCCGCTTCATCCCTCGGAAAACATTCCCAGACTTCGTCTACAAGAGGATAAAAGCTCGAAACAGGGTAGGGCAGGCCCCGAGAGGGTGTCATGCAGGCGGGTAGGTGGGCAGGAGGTGAGTTCTAAGCCCAGGACGCACCTCCCATAAGCCTGGCCCAGCCCCCGGAGGCATCAGGAAGGGAGTGGAGCCACTGCTTGCCCAGGGCCCTGGTGGGCCTAAGTGGGGCAGGGCCTGCTCCAGGAAGCAGGCAGAGGAGCCCCCATGGTGCTGGGACGCCCCTGGCCCTGGGTTGGCTCTGCTGGCACCTGTGAACGGCAGCTGGGTACCACCTGAGTCATCCACAGTGGCCAAATGCAGATATGAAGTGAGCAGAAAGCCACCTCCCCACGGGAACCGCCAGTGGGACCTTAGTGTGGGTCCTTCTGGGATTTCCCGTGGACAGATGTGCACACCAATGTGTGGACTGGGCTCTCAGGAGCCATGGGGAACCTCCCGTGGCCTTCCAGCCTCTTAGCCTGGCAACGCCATGTTTGCCCTGGTGTGGTCTGCCAGGTGCTTCACACATGCACAGCGATACCCGTGGTGGTGAGTGGCATCTGTGCGCACAGGCACACGTGGGGCCTCAGGGAGGTGTGAGCACGAACACGACGGTAAGATTGAGGGACGGACGTGCACACATGTAGGCAGGACAGTGGGACATCGGGCAGGTATTTTATGTGTGCGAGGAGGGAGGTGTGTGTGAATGTGGGGTGTGCACCCCTCCAGGGAGCCCCAAACTCCTGAAGCTGGCAGTGGAGAGGTGCAGAGCAGGCCCAGCCATCCAGCTGCCCATGCTCAGCCCCTCATGCCCGTCTCTGGCCCGCAGCTGGCGGAGATCCATGGTGTGCCCCGTGGGCTGTATGATGGGCCCGTGCATGAGGTGATGGTGCCTGCCAAGCCGGGGAGCGGTGCCCAGGCCCGCGCGTCCTGCCCGGGGAAGATCTCAGTCCCTCCTGTGCGGAACCTGCACCAGTCAGGGTTCAGCCTCTCGGGTAAGTTGGGCCTCAGGCACCGATGGGGGTGTGAGGGGCTCTGTTAGAGCGTCTGAGGGGCCCCAGGGCCCAGCCTGTGCCCAGAGGAGCTGCAGGGCCTGCCCTCACCTATGGGGCACACGGAAACAGCCAGCAGGGGACTGGGGCAGGAGACGCTGCTGAGGGTGTCATGGGGGCCGAGGGCTGAGCCCACTTAGGGAGGCCCCTCCTGCCCAGCATCTGCCTGGGCAGCTATGATGAACCCCTACCTTGAGGACAGTGTGCTGGGGTGGGGCTGTCATGTGAAGCCCAGGGGTGAGCGTGGATTCAGCCTCAGGGGAGGTGAGGGGGCCTGAAGAGGACCCCAGGATCACATGGAATCCAGGTCCCCACCCAGCCAGCCCCAGAACCAAGCGTGAGGTGTGAGGGAGGGGTCTGAGCTGTGTCCAGGGGCCCAGAGGGACATGCAGGAAGGCGTGCGAGGGCCCCGGCCTCTGGCATTTGGTGGTGCTTCTGGTGCATCCTCCCTGCACGGGGAGGTGATAGCAGGCCCTGCTCACCTCCCGGGGCCTCAGGCCACAGTCAGGTCCCTGAGAACCTGCCATTTCTGGGAGGCTGCAGCCTTTCCTCACCTGGGGCCATAGCAGGGATGAGGCCGGACTGGCTTGGGCTCCTCTTGGGACAGGAAGGGGTTCCTGCAGGTCAGCCTGGAGTTTGCAGCCTCCCGTGCAGGCCCCCCACCCCCCAGTGCGCCCTGGGCCTCAGGGATCTCGTGGCAGCCTCCTGCGCACTCCCTATGCGCCGCAGGCCTCAGGGAGGGAGTGCCTGCTGAGAACCTGGTCCCCTTGGCCTTCTGGTTCTGGCAGGTGGGCGGGGGCTCTGCGGTCCTGGCCCCACTGACGCAGTCACTGAATCTGCCTCCCCACTTGGATAGAAGGGACTCTGCCCCTGCCCCATTTCTCTCCTGCCCACCCTGCCCTTTCTCAGGGTCTCAGGCTGACGACCACATCGCCCGACGCACGGCACAGAAGATCATGGCACCACCCGGCGGCCGCTCCAACATCACCTCTCTCTCCTAGATGCCCAGGCCCTGCCCTGTGAGCCCTGCTGGCCCCACTCAAGGCCGCAGGGGCCCCAGAGGACTTGCCCCCCTTAGCATTTTCCTTTGTAGAAGTTTCTTGAAGGTGCTTGGCGGCCTTGCCTTCCCACTCCCCACAGGCTCTCCTTGTGGGGTCCCAGGTCCTACTGCCATGAGGCCCTGAAGAGAAGGGCTGAACCTGGGGAGACGTCACTGCCAGGGTGAGGTGGCGCCACACGGCAGGGACGGTGCCAGCAGCCTGAGCTCAGGCACCCCAGTGCCCACTGAGCCCGGCCTGGGTACAGGGAACCCGCCGGGCTGCACAGAGCACATGGGAGCACTCTGACACCGAGTCGCGCCTGGTGGGCATTTGCGCCTCCTCCCCACACCCATCACTGCCTCGCAGAGCCCCGCGCTCCCGCAGCTCCTCTCCAGAGGCCTGTGCCCGTGGCGGGCCATCGGAACTCGGTGCAGCACAGCCCGCCGTGGAGGGGTTTTCCACACGCCGAGGCCCACAGCTGAGCTTTCGTAGTAGCCCCCGTCCAGGGAACCCTTGTGATCCTTTAGGAAGACACTGTCCTTTCATTACAGACTGTGTTTCCATAGGCTTCTTAGTAGCAGCTCTGTAGGTGAGGACACCTGTAGCCAGGAGCCTGTGCATGCCACCCACCTCCTGACACTGCATCATCCGGCCTCTGATGTGAATCAGGCCCATTAAAGACGTCTGGTGCGTGGAAAACGCGTCTCCTCTCCCCCACACCATCTCTGCACGGGCGGCCTGGCTGGCTGTGGCTGGTCCAACGGCTCCTGCAGCCACGGCTCTTCTCCCCTGCACAGGGCTGCTCTGCATGGCAGGGAGGGGCTTGTCCTCTCACAGGGAAGAAGAGCAGCGGGGCAGCCTGGGTGGGGCGGAGGGGCCCCCACACTTCTCACTGACAGCTGTGGCTGCCCCAGAAGGCCAGCAGCATGCACAGGAGTGCCTGGAATCCAGGCACACACCGTCACCCAAGTGGGCGCTGCTCACAGATGCCAGCCTAGCACTCAAGGCCAGGCAGCCACGAGGCTCCGACCCGAGCCCCCTAAGGTCATGACTGTGGTGCTGGTGGATACCTCGTCTCATAAAACGGGTGCTAGTTCGTATTCTAGGTGTGGACATTTCCAGATAGCTGTCTTCACACCAAGAGCAGGGCCTGCCATGATCACTGGGTACTCCCCACTGGCTGATGATGAGCGCAGAGGGCCAGGGACTCACCTCCTGCCACCGGCACTCCAGGCCCTGCCTAGGCACTGATGGCGATGGGGAATTTCCTGCCGTGGTCTCTGGGGACTATGGACAGCTGCATCTTTGACCCTGGGCTTCTCACAAAGCAGCGCTGATCCTAGGCAGCGGCCCTGGAGGAGGCCCTGGGTCCTCAGCGTTTCCTTCTTGGGGCTTCCTCTGGCCCAGCTGTGGGAGTTGGCATTCCTGGCTCTGCCCCAGGGTTGGGGTGATCAGGGGAACCAGAGAGCACCCACACTCCACCAGTGTCTCAGGGAAGGACAAGGAGTGCCACCTGCCATGTTCCCAAACGCACCTACACAAACCCCACACCTGCCTCTGACGTCGCCATGTTTCCACCAAGCACATGGCCGCCTCGGCCCTCGCAGGGACCGGGCCACCCTTCCTGGTGGTGACTTGGGCACCATGTCCCCCATGTGAGCTACTGGCTATTGCCTTCCAGGATTCAGAGGGCAGGGGCGGGCGGGGGACAGGGAGCTGTGTCATCTCCCCTTGGACTTAGGACTCTGCTCCTGGCACGGCCGGTCCTTCCCCAGATGTTCTTCAGCCATTGCCACCTCAGCCCACCCAAGGACAGGAGTACCCTGTTGGCCAGGGGCGCAGCAGGGATCGTGGACACGGGTCTAGACACATGTTCACCATGGTTGCTGTCCTGGGAGGGGGCACAGAGCTGACACATGCATTCCTCCAGAGGAATGGAGTGCTGGGCTGACGGGCTGAGCCCATTCTCCAGTGGGACCAGAGAGAAGCGTGCAGACTATTTACCCATTTACAGTCCCAATGACAGAACCACCCAGCCACAGCAAGAGGGCTGTGTCCCTTCACAAAGGGCCACGCACTGCCTGGCACTGCGGTGGCTCCACCATGCAGGGTGCCGTCCTGGGCTCCTGCCTCCAGCACCGTCTCTATCTCCCACAGCCACGGAGATGGGCACCCCTGCCATGCCGTGCTGCTGGTGCCCTGGGGAGGCTCCACTGCAAGGAGCGGCCCACCCGGAGTCCAGCTGGGCCTGACGGCTGGGCAGACACAGGATACACAACACCAAGCGCTTCTCACACTGTAATTCTCAGAGGTGAAAACTGTACAGAAGCAGCAGAAATCGCTGGAGCAGTGTGACCCGCATCCGCTACCCACAGCCCGCGCCCTGCACCTTCAAGAACTGGGCCGAGCCTGGGCACCCTCTGCCTGGCTGTAAGTGCTCACCTTGTGAAGTGGGCCACGCCCAGCCTCGGGGCCAAGCGGGCCAAGGGCTCCTTCCCATCTGCAGCCCCGGCCCACTGTGCACAACAAAGGGGCGCCTGGCAGCGCTTCCGCCATTAGGCAGGTCCCAGGGCCCACAGGCAGTGTCCTCCTTGCTGGCCTCCACAGGTGCCTGCTGCACCCACAGCCTCTTGTCCCGTGCACCACCACGAACCCGAGGTATGAAACGTGTCCAGGGCACTGTCAGCCTTGCTGCTGGGTGGGAACGTGAATGCCAGGCTTCTGCCCTGTGGCCCTCCTCTGGCAGCTGAGTCTCCAAACTAGCCTGAGGGTGAGGATCATGGGCGTCCCGGCCTAGCCGCTCCCAGCCGAGGGGCAGATGGGGCCGCACATGGGCAAGGCGGAGGGCTCTGCCTCGTCCTCCAGAGGGTCCGCAACATCCCTGGGCCCAAGGGCAGGGAGAGGCTCGCTCAGGAGGTCCTGGCTCCTCTTCAGCCTGGGGTGGCAGGAACACATGGAGGGAGTTATGCCCCCACCACCTCAGCCTCACTGTCCCATGACCTGCCCACGGGCTCACAGAACAGGCCATGGTGTGGGTGCTCAAGTGTGGGCTGCAGGCTGAGTGTCTGCTGGAACGGCCACATGCCTGATACACTCAATGGGGGCGGGTGGGGGCGTGCGAGGATGCTGGCGAGGCTCAGCATGTTTCCAGCCAGAAGGCCTGAGTGTGCAGGTGCCACAGGTCAGCAACCTGGGAACGAGGCTTGGCTGAACCTTGTCACCTGGACCTCTGCTCCCCAGGGTGTCAGCCAGTGCCTTCGCCTGTCTGCACATCCAGCCCACAAAAGCTCAGAGACCACTCCTTCAGGAGGCCCTCGTGCAAGCAGAGGGGGCATCCATCCTCCCTTGGGCCCCACTGTGGCAGCTGCTGCCATTTCCGGGCTGCCTTGCCTGCCACCAGTCACCTTTGCCCTTTCTGTCCCTAGTACTTGCAATTTGGGGAACTCAGCTGAGTGACTGCGGGCATGCCTGCGTCAGGAGTTAAGGTGGCTCTGACAGGGCCTTCTAGGAAGCCCCCTCCCCTTGTCTGGGCAAGCAATTGGTCTCTTCCCAGAAGATTCCAGCCACGGGCCCCGAGTGGAGCCCAAACACACCAGAGCCTGGCAGGGGCCTCCTGCCGCTCCCCTCCACAGCTGCTGCTCGGAGTTCCCCACAGAGAGAAGGGGCCACACACCGCAGCCCCATGGAGGTCACGTGGCTGCAGGGTCTCAGGACATGTGTGAGAGCAGGGCCACACACCACAGCCCCATGGAGATCACGTGGCTGCAGGATCTCAGGACATGTGTGAGAGCAGGGCCACACACCCCAGACCCACAGATGCCAAGTCATGTGACCAAGGAAACCTTAACCTTGGCCCCATTTTCCTCCTCTCTGTCACCACACTTACCCACCCCCACACACTCACTTTTCTCTGTTAAAAATCACGAAATCTTGCTGGATTGCATCAAGGCAGTCTTGAAGATAGTCGTTCTCCTGTAGACAGAAAGGCACATGTGACCACATCCCCTGGGTGAGTGTCTGGCATCCCTGCTGGGCCTCCACATGTGGCTTTCTTTGGACAACGGCCTCTTCATTACTGAAGCAGCCCAGCCCCCCAGCAGCCAGACTGGCATCTCCACAGGTGATTCACCCAAGCCCTGAGGGATGCCAAGGCCCAGCTCCCTTGCCTGGGGGTGGATGGCGTGGACTTGCTCCATGAGGCCTGCAGAACCAGGCACAAGCTGTTCTCTGCGGCACTTTGGTGGAAACCCCTCCCCTGCTGGGCCTCTCCCCTTGCTGGGTTCTCCCAGCCCCTCATCACAGTACACACAGGCCCATCCCAGGCCCACCTCTGGGATGCTGCCTGAAGAAGCCTGGAACCAGGGCTGGCCTGTGGGCTGAGGCTGCCCGGCAGGACCCACCCTGAGAAGCCTGGAACCAGGGCCGGCCTGTGGGCCTTGGAGATGTGTGATGGGCAGCAGGACCACTGCCCAAGACGCGGCGGGGGACATGGGTGGGCTGCCCGTGGAGGGGTGCTGGCTGCACAGTGCTGGCGTGGTGTGGGAAAGCATCATTAAGGGGACCATGGACTACCAACATTCAGGCAAATGGCAGACCCAGCTCAGCCAAGTCGCGGTGGAAAGTGCAGAGAGCCGGGGGCCTGGAGGTGGCATTGAAAGGGCCCCACCTCCTGCAGCTGAGGGCAGAGGATGCCCACTTTCGAGGACAGCAGAACCTCAGATCCACAGCCTCAGGAAGTTGCCCACACCACAGCCAAGGCCCTGAGAGGGAGGGAGCTGGGCTCTGGGGGCCGGAGGGGACGTGTGAGTGGGTGCACGTGAGAATGCTCACCCCTACCTAGATACACAAAAGGTACAGTAAAATCCTGTGTTACCATCTTACGGGACCACCGTCCCACACGACTGGCCAGTGGCAGAGGCGGCGTTAGGCAGTGCGTGATCACAGTCTGCGTCCACCCGAGATGAAGAGCAGCCTGCTGTCACGGCCCCGCCCCAGGGCTAAGGGCACTCTTCCCTGTCACAGTGTCGTCCATGCCTCGACACCTGGACACTCTCACCCACTATCCCTGGATCCTATTATTATTTTTAGAGATGGAGTCTCACTCTATGGCCTAGGCAGTAGTGCAATGGTGCCATCTTGGCTCATTGCCAACTCTGTCTCTTGGGTTCAAGTGATTCTCCTGCCTCAGCCTCCCGAGTAGCTGGAATCACAGGCATGTGCCACCACACCAGGCTAATTTTTGTGGAGATATGGTTTCACCATGTTGGCCAGGCCAGTCTTAAACTTCTGACCTCAGGTGATCCACCCACCCCAGCCTCTCAAAGTGCTGAGATTACAGGCGTGAGCCACTGCACCCGGCCCCGTGGAGCCTATTAATGCTGATTCCAAGTACTCTGGACACCCTGTAACCACATGTCCAGAGTGCAGGTGATCAACCTTGTGACAACACAGAAACCTGTCCTCTGCAATGTTTCAGGGATCTGGTGACGTGCGTCACACTGGGACACGCCCATCCAGGAAAAGGATAAGCCATCTCACCTTGCACCATTTCCCTCTAGGAAGGAAGTGTAGGGCTGGGCACATTTCCTGGGGTTATGGAGCCGCTCACATTCCCCACCCTGAGGCAGTGCCCTCTGTGCTCTCCGGGATCTGTGGCGCTGTGATGGTTTCAACCCTGGCAGTGGGAATGTGGACTCTTT